CTTTCCTCCATACCTAAAATGGCTCCGTCGGTGCCGATCCAGCTCTCCAATGCCAAAATGGCTTTCACATAGGGCCAAAACAGCTTTGGCCCCAAAAGGGCTGAAACGGAATTTGGGGTCGATTTGGCCCTTTTTAATTTACAGTGTATATCGAAGAAATGGCATTCTTTCAATATATAGAAGCCATGTATAGTTTAGTTTTCGATATATCGAGGAAATTGCAATCTTTCGATATATTGAGGAAATTGCAATCTTTCTTCGATATGTCGAAGAAATGGCATTCTTTCGATATATCGAAGAAATGGCATTCTTTCGATATATCGAAGAAATGGTATTCTTTCGAAAAATCGAAGAAATGGCATTCTTTCGATATATCGAAGAAATGGCATTCTTTCGATATATCGAAGAAATGGCATTCTTTTAATATATTGAAGAAATGAATGGCATTCTTTCGATATATCGAAGAAATGGCATTATTTCGATATATCGAGGAAATTGCAATCTTTACATATATCGAAGAAATGGCATTCTTTCGATATATCGAAGCATTGGATAGTTTAGAGTTTTCGATATATCGAAGGTGGCATGTTCTTGACATATAATTTTCACTGACTGTGGCTGCCTCCAGACATGTTTTGGAACTATAACATTTTCCTCTTTTTTCCCCTTTTATTTACATGCATTTTACTCACTTTGCTAAAAACAATAAATTTTGCCCAAATTTTTTAGCAGTTTTTTCCTCTTAGAGATTTAGTATCATTTTAGTCATATCTTGCAACTTGGAAAGCTAAAATTGTTGCAAAATGTGTATGTTTTTGCTGAATATATTTTCAGTCATTTTAACATGCATTTGATGTGATTTTCCTATTAAAACATGGAATCTGTCATTGTCCACATTTGCAATTATTCTTATGTTTTTAACCAATTTTTATCATGTTTATATAATGGATATATAATGAATCCATATTAAATACAACCACAATTAAGAAAAAAATATAAGGTTGATATATAACAGAAGCAAATTATTGAGTGACAATGAATTTGCTATTTTTGGTTGTTTTCTAGTGTACAAAGCAAGCAGAGGTGTAACTTAACACTTGCCCACTAATTGCCCGAAACAAGTGAAATTCATGACGGGCAAGTGAACGTTTTATCTTGCTTGCCCGATTGGGCAAGTTGCCTTGCCGCAAAAATCTGGGCATCTTTAACTTAAGTTTATGTTTTCATTGTCGGATAATCTTTGTGGTGCATGTACTGGATTCAGGCACTTTCCCCCTGACGAGTAACATTGTTAGGAATAAGACAAAGTAAAATAATTAAGTAGGGCATATCTGGCCACATTGCCCCTTACAGGACAAACAGGGTGCATCCTGTAGGCAGATAGTCTGATTAACCCATTGAAGAGCAGATTCTCCTCCTGACAAGTAAAATTGTTTGATGTTAGACAAAGTACAATAATAAAGTAGGGCGCATTGCCACTTAAAGGTTAAAATATCTCGGTAATTGTTTTTATCAGTTACATTTCGAAACTGTCTGCAAAAGTATGTCGGTTACCGTATTGGAAAATGTGCTTCTATTAGAAAACTCAGTCTGGTTGATTCGATTTGGAAAGCCTGTCCATCTAAAGAGGCTCATGTAAACAGACATTCATCCAGAGAAAGCAAGCTATAGCCGGGCTACCTGGGCTGACTTTCCTCCATATTGACCATATAAGCAGCTGCTCCTCACACGTTTTAGAGTGACCGATAGGAGGGTTTAATACCATAGCAAGCACGTGCCATACATTGGGTGATATTGGGACATGGGCTATTACAATGCTATCTATATGATATTAATTTGACTTCAAACAAATCACATTGTATTTATGTGATTTGTAAGTATACAATGCATGTTAACTATAAATGGCAAATATTTCACAGGAAACATAGCATATACACGTATATCACACAAATAAGCTATACGAGTGTTGATTAGATTTATACACTTCTGCTAATAGAAATTAATCGAAAATTTACAACTGAACGTTTAGATACCTTCGGTAAAAAAGTATTAATACAAATACAAGCCTTCGATTTAAAAACATAACTATACAGTATATCAAGTAACTATCCGCATACAAATGAGTAACTAGACAATAGACATACCTTTGAAAACAAATTCCATGTATTTTATTAGGTCTTTGGAACTTTATAAGTAGAAAACTTGAATAAAAATCCTTTCCTCTTAGAATGTTTGTTCCCAAAAGATCATACTTAGCGCTTACAACACGTAATATATTCTAAGTATGTTAATTGTTGAAAAGTAATGTTTGTGATGTTACTTTGAGTGTATATCTACACCGGCAAGCTGCTCCATTTACTGTTCGGAGTACTCCGGATTTTCGGAACACTAATGGAATGGAACAGAACAGAGTCACATGACTGTCCTGAACTGTTCTGACTACCCCGATTTTCGAGTAGGGGCAGCCAGAACAGGCACGTGACACTTCCTATTTTCACGTCATTGGAGATAAAGGCGACATATTTTGTATATCCAATACACACTGTATAGAGTGTTATTTTGAAGGGTTAACCGTTATATTTCGACATGTAATTATTATATGCTATTTGAACGCCAGGGTTGGGTAAAATCAACGAGTAAAAACTTTGCAAAAGCATATGTAGATGTACAAATAACAGCGAATCATTATTCGCTTTATTATGCGAGTTAATATAGTAATGCATGGTTGCACGCATATATAATAAACTCAACACTGTTCCAGAACACCGTGTGCACTCTATTTTATATCGTTCCAGAAAAGTGTTCCAAATGTTCTAGAACCGTAAATGGAGCAGCCTGCGGGCAAGCTTGAAAAATATGCCTAACCACGGTGGGAATCGAACCTATTCTTAATGCTATTTTGGCCCTCATATTTAGTGCTGTTTTGGCCCCCATACTTAGTGCTGTTTTGGCCTGCATTTTTAGTGCTTGTTTGGCCCCATATTTAGTGCTAACATGTTCCAGAGCAAAGTGTGATATTCTATTTACTTAAAAAAATGGACAAATACACCTCATACGTATACGAGAAAAATGTCCACAAATGTAAAATCTCATAATATCCTATGCTAAAAGTTAACATTTTGGTGTAATTTTGCCAAAAAATATTACGTGTTGCAAAAAAATGCAAAAAAGATCGATATTTTCAATAGGTTTGAGTGTGATAAACTAAGGAAGATATAACCAATAGTTGGTTTGGATAAATCCACGCCAACATGAAAAGACACTAAATAGGTCCTTTTTCAAAGCAGACGTCACCAACATGTCGAGACCACATTTGGACTTGGTGGATAAATTAGGAATATTTTGCAAATATATTAATAGTTGGTTTCGATAAATCCACGCCAACATGAAAAGATACTAAAAAGGTCATTTTTCAAAGCAGATGTCACCGACATGTCGAGACCACATTTGCACATGGTGGATAAATTAGGAATATTTTGCAAACATGTCAATAGTTGGCTTGGATAAATCCACGCCAACATGAAATGATACTAAAAAGGTCATTTTTCAAAGCAGATGTCGCCGACATGTCAAGACCAGATTTGCACGTGATTGATAAATTAGGAATATTTGCAAACATATTAAAAGTTGGTTTGGATAAATCCACGCCAACATGAAATGATACTAAAAGGACATTTTTCAAAGCAGATGTCACCGACATGTCGAGACCACATTTGCACATGGTGGATAAATTAGGAATATGTATGGGGGCTAAAACAGCACTTAAATATGTGGACCAAAACACCAGCTGTTTTGGTCCCCATATTTAGGTGCTGTTTTAGCCACCATACTTAGTGCTGTTTTGGCCCTCATACTTAGTGCTGTTTTGGCCAAGTATAGGGCCAAATTGGGATGATATTCTAAATAACTAAAATTCATATAGCTAACTTCTCTTCAGGAATATAGTAACACCGAGATTATTTTCTGATATGGAGCCAGATTTAAGGGACGTCTTGTAGAAGTTTTTCTCCATGAAATGGATGGTCCGAGATTTGCGATGATATGACATGCCATCACATGTTATGACATCCGATACGTTAATAAAACTTTTATATTAGTTGTAATTGAAATATAATTTTTAGACAATGTGTCTTCATTATTCGCTTATAAGAATTTTCACCAATTTTTTATGGTCATTTTTTGGCCAGATTTATGCTTCAAGATTCATTTATTATGATTCAAGCTAGCGATACGTTGGAAGCGCTTTTTGGTGTATCTATTTTAGAAGACAAGCGCCACGCGCGCAATGAGTTGTGGTATGTCGTGTATCAAATGTCAAGTGTGGTTTTTCGTTCGAGTATATTCCGACGAAGAAAAACCGGCTTTTGACAGGTTTTCGTAATATTTTGTATTGGATAAGTGATTACGAATCCTGCCAAAGGCATATTTGATCTCACCATCCTCAGGTATGAAATATGACTGTTTATATCATATAATTATAACGTCCATTTGCTGTTGTCGTTGCTGCTAAAATTTGAATTTGCGCGCGCGAGAATTCGTGCGTTTTATATTAAGTTATTTCATTTCAATGCAGTCAAATAGACATATTAGTTAAAATCAACAATTCAAATTTTGAATAAACTCATTATAGTAAATACTGGGTTTTGCACTTGTTTGGCAAAACCCCAAAGCATGTTTGAAACCACATACTATAAAACTATATGTGAATATGTATAATATGACTACATCAAGTTTAAAAGTCAAAACATGAAAATTATTTGGTAGTATTAATTTAACCTCGAAGAAGTCATAATATCTGAATCAGAAAATTGTTAACCCAATATATAGAATTGAGTAAATTTAGTATTTAATTTTGTTCTGACGAGTAAAATTGTCTGGCGTTTAAGACAGTGTAAAATAATAAAGTAGGGCGCATCTCAGTACATTGCCACTTAAGGCAATTTCATTATGCATTCTGTTTTTAATCACCCCTCTCCTGGATTTCCAAGGTCTTTCAGGCCATCGAGTAGCTGCTCTCTCCCCTTGACAAGCAACACAGAGTGCATCAGGGCACATTATGCCTCAAAGGGTTAGTGCCACAATATGGTAAAGGGTTTATTTACCCTTTTAGAGTTTATATACTGTATGTGCCTGTTTACATGTATGTGATAATGACAGGAGGTTTTAATCCAGTCTTGCTGAGAAACTTGGTTAAGCAAAACAGTATTTTTTATATAGACGGGATACATGCACCCCCTCTGGCAGAGATGATAGAATGCATGCTTACTGTATATGAGAAATTATCGTCTTGGCAGGTGGGATCCAGGCATCAAGTAATGAGGTGTCACCTAGGCCAGATAGAGGTGGAATCATTAATTTTATTGTAAACACTCGATAGAGTTCATATTGCAGGAGGGATCATAAAACTAGTATTTTTTACAATCGCTGACATCTTGTATTTTCATTGCCAGCATACCTATTACAGTCAATTTACAGACAAGAGAAAGCTGCTT